AGTGTCTGGAGAGAGGGAAGTCTGGGCATCTTTGCTTAGACTGCTGCCCCCGCGACCCGGTCCCGGATAAGCGGAGGGAAATGGATGGATGGATGGATGGATCATAGCATGCTGTCAGGCATCACTCATTGTCTATTTGGGGAAAAAACTTTTAACAGTCTTAGCACTTCCAAAGATAGTAATTCTGTCAAATGAGTTTTGGGGAACCGAGGCACCTACACCTACTTGTGGTGCCTACTACTGTTTGAACCCTCAACCTTCTGGTTGGGAGACGACAGCTCTACCCACCGCACCCCATGACAGAAGACAACCTAAACCCACAGAAGAACTGTGGCGGCTTCTCCAGCATATCTGGAACTACAGACAGCCATTAAGACAAAAGAGCTGTGACACCGAAGGGGTCAAAATGGTAGCAAGTCACGTGACTCACTGAGATGCACATAGTTTAAAACTGTCGATTAAAATCCATTATTTACTGTAAGGAATAGCGGCATTTATGAGCAATAACTACAGCCTTGCAAACAAATTCAGAGTTCTGTTGTTACAGATAGTTCAGCTAATTTGGCTGGTTAGCAATTTACCTAATTACTAAAATGACCCAATATTGGAGAGAAACAGTCAAAAAGTCTGTAAAACGTCTTTTGACACGTCACTAATTTAAAATGTCACAAGAATAAATACTGCTATTGATTTCAGCTTCTTACTTTGGAAAATAGCAGTCATTTTTATTCTCTTACCCCTGACATGACTTGCTTTCTAACTATTTCATCTCCTTCTCGCGTTCTTTTCCTTGTTTTCTGTGGCTTTTGCTCCTTATGCTGCAGAGCCTCTTCACTCCGTTCTCCATCTTTATCTCCCTTGTTTTCATCTTTCCCCTCCTTCGGTGGCTCATGCCAGTAACGAGATGGAGCCTGTTAACGGGAAGCAAAAGTAGTATTTTAGCAGCAGTGATTTTAAGAAAAGAACAGTTTAGTTTGGGTCTGCTCGCCTCCTCCAGGACGCCGTTAGCCTATATCAGCGCCACTGGTGTTAGCTGTCTGATGCGAGCAAATAACTCCTGTTACTTGTGTCTGTCCGACAAACAAGCTTGCACTAGTATGTCTTAGCTGCTAATATCAAAACCCTAACACAGGCAATGGTATGTCGCCATATTAACCATTTATTCGTAGTTACCTTTTCCTTTTTCCCCACGTGTGAACGCTTCCCTACTACTTCGCTGGGAGACGCCATCTTTGTTGTATACGTTTTTAGTTCATTTGACGTAACACGGATACATCACTTCCGGGTATTTATTACTATATATTTATTTATTTATACAACTAACTTAAAACATTCAAAACAAAGCATTACATGCACATGCGCATGTACATTAAAGTTATATACATTAAATACATTTTAATACATGATGATTTTGATAATAGATTAAGATTATATACAATTACTGGTGCTGAGTCTTATCTGTGTAGCTTTCCTGTTCAAGTTCATGCTTTATCACTGTAAACATCACATTTGTAAACAGTGAGTTGAAAAAACTCACTGATAAAGTCTAGACTGATAAAGTCTAGATAAAGTCTAGATGAAATAGGTTTACTATTACATAACATATTTTCTAGGGGTGAAAGGGGGAGGAAAGGTTACAGCAATGAATTCTGAGCAGGGAGGGACTTTCATAATACAGCAGGGACTGAGACCAGAGACAGGGTGGAGACTGTTATTTTTCAAGAAGAGAAAGAAAAGGAGCTTTCTTGTTCTACAACTGGAGAAGAGAATAGTATCAGAAATACAGCACAGAAACCAAGAGCCATCAGCCTGTCACTTGATCAAGAAAAGGTAAGTGGTTAAATCTGTACACATACACAAGTAAAGCATTTTCAATAGCTGTTACGTGAGTGCAACCTAATACTTTTTGAACAAAGCCAAAGCACCACTTTACTGTTAACTACTTATTGTCTCTATCCTTTTTTGAAGATGGCATACCGAATTTATTTTCTAAGACAATTTGACTTCACACTCTACAACTGACAATGTTAAAATAGTTTTCATATGTCATCATACATGTTGTATAACTTTTTCTTTTTTCTTTTTTTCTTTCTTGATTTGATAGATGGTAAAAAGGTAGAAAGTATCAAATTGAGGTCAATCAGTGGCAGAGTCAGCCCTAGGCATAAGCGAGCTAAGAACCTGCTTAGGGCCCCATAGCCTAAACCCCGAGAGCACGTGAGATGTCACACAAGAGAGCTTGTTTATGCATATGCACACTGTAGTGGATGTTAACTGCATCTTGATGCAAGCACAGTCTGCCAGACTCTAACATTAGGTTAAATGAAAAAAGCAGCAAAAAGAGTAATGTTGCAAAAACAGAGGTATCCCTCTCGAGCAGAGAAAAGAAAGAGTAAAACAAAGGATGAGAAAAACTGCAAGATGAAGTTACGTTTGTGACAAATTTTATTTTAGTGACAATCCACAAAGCAAACAAAAAAGCACTGTTCACTTTGCCAATCACTGTACTTTTACAAATATTGACCTTTGTTATCTTCTAGGTGATTTCTAGTGAGAAAAATATACAGACCAGCCATAACATTATGACCACTGGCAGGTGAAGTGAATAACACTGACTGTCTGTTACAGTGGCACCTCTCAGTGTGTGGGTTATATTAGGCAGCAAGTGAACATTCAGTCCTCAAAGTTGATGTGTTGGAAGCAGGAAAAATGGGCAAGTGTAAGGATCTGAGTGACTTTGACAAGGGCCAAACTGTGATGGTGAGATGACTGGGTCAGAGCATCTCCCACACTGCAAGTCTTGGTGGGTGTTCTTGGTCTGCAGTGGTTAGTACCTACCAACAGTGTCTAAGGAAGGACAAATGGTGAACTGAAGACAGGGTCATGGATGCCCATGGCTCACTGATGATGAGGTTGACCTACTGTAGATTAAACTTTTAACTTTCATCTGTACTTTTCAAAAATAAATTGTATTTGAATCTTTGTTAAAATGGTTGAAAATAAGAAATACTGTACACTGGTCTATATGAAGAGAAAAGGTCAGAGGCTGTAAACATCACATTTGTAAACAGTG